TGGGTTAATCTAAGTAATCTCAGTAGACCACTAAAAAAAAAAAAAAAAAAAAAAAAACCAAAAGTGAGAGGAGAGTTGCAGTTCATTGCTGTGTGAATTAGAGCGGACAGTACAACTAAAGAAAAGTTGGTGTGATGTGTTACAGTTTGTCGGATTTCTTTTTAGTGTCCTGGAAGGACAGAAGCAGCTTTGAGCCCTCCTTTTGTTTGTTTTTGTTTTGGTTAAGTAGTAAAATGTGATTCCAAAAGAAGCTCTAAGACAGGAACTTCCTTTTTCAGTGTGTTTGTATGTTGCACTTGGATGGTGGCTTGATCTCTGCTGAGCCATCTGGAAAGCAACCGAGTGTTCTATTAGTGCAAGCAAAAGCCTATGCAATAGGTTAATGTTCTTTGTAAAGCCTGCCTAACTTCTGAAATTACTGGTTAAACTTCTCTGTCAAATGCAGCGGTGTGTAATTTTGTATGTTTTCTATTGTGTATGCATTTAGCGAATCATTAAGAGTAAAGAGTAAACCAGTTTTCATTTAATCAACCGTTAAGACACCTTTGGTGTGGTTTTTTTTTCTGTAGAAGTTGCATTTCATTTAGATTCTATTCTTTTAAGAGTTCACATTATTACTTCCCTTATGTACTGTATTGCAACATTTCAAGCTACCATCAAATAGTCTATCTATATTACTGCTAAATCACTTTCAAGTTCTTCAGCTCCTTTACTCTTAACTAAAATAATATTCTGAATTGTTGCCCATTTCTTGTTTATCTATGTTTTCTAGCTTAATAGAAATGCAAAAGTGTTAAGGAATACGGTAAACTGGATGGTCTGTATTACATGGAAAATTGATCTGTTACCCTATACCGTTCTGATTTTTTGTCTCCCCCCCAACCACCCCACCCCATCGCTTGTGCAGTTTCTGGTACAGATTGTTGTGACTTTACGTGGTACTCCAGGCTTGAGAAAGGTTTTCTTGTGAAAACCTCTCATTTTCTAGGCCATTTTTATATATGTCAGTAGATTATCACAATAATAAAGCAGGATTTAGGTGCAGGGTTTGCTTGAGTTTTAAGGCAGTCTTCCTGAGAACGTAAGGTTTAAGTGACTGGTTTCTTGCTTTCTCTGCCTTCTGCCACCCTCCATGACTTAGAACAGAGACGCCTTAGTTGGATGCTACATCGGTGTAGAGTTTTTGATACAGCTTAGCTGATGCAAAAGGTAGCTACTTTGAAAAGAGTGGTCCCATTCCTTTCCCTCACTTGCCCAACCCCAGGTTATTATATGGCCTAACCAACTGCTCCTTTAAGGACAGGCGTATTTTTATCAGCCTTCGGAAAGTGACGATGAGGGAGAGGATGTGTCCCTGGGGAGGGAGACAGAGACATGCTTTTTCCGTGTTTTAATTCTGTCCCTGAAAAACCTTTAATGTGAACTCGATATAATGTATTTAAAAAAAAAAAAAAAGGCGAGGGGGAGAGAAGAAAGTTCTTAATAAATACTTAGTTTGGATATAAAATCTTCAACCTAAGTTGATTGAAAAACTGTTATTTTCTCTGAAATTTGTGTTACACCTGCAGGCCCACTGGTAAACACAATGCTCTCAGCTGTGCAGTTCTTCTGATGCATTAGTTTACATGGAGTGAGGATCTGGAGTCTACATATCTCTTGACTACTCAGCCATTATGTCCTCCTACAGTATTTGTACTAATACGAGAGAAAAGTAATTTCTGAGGACACGTTTGTTATACCTGCTGTGTCAAAACTTAGTAAGGATGAAGCACAATGAAGAAAAGGCTCTGTTTACAACTCTCACTTTCAACCTATTTTGCATACGTCTACACAGAGAAAATGTGGTGAAGATCAGACTGAATGATAGAACAAAAGTGTTGAGCTAGATTTTTTTTTTCTTCCACCATTGTCAAAATTGTAGAACTTCAGAACAGCTTTTGATAATACAGCAGAAATGTGAAGCGCAATCAGAAATACTAATGCAGTGCCTTTTGCGTTTGTGCCAGGCAGGGTAACCAGCAACTTCTTTAGTCTCTTTCTGCTTCAGTTTTTTTAGAAAGTTACATCTCCCGTCTTTGTTAAGGCTGTGAAGTGGAGGAATGTATGTTTGCTATGGAAACTGTCATTATGAATCTGTGTTCTCTTGAAAAGAAGATTAACCTTAATAGGGTGATACAAAAATCCATAAAAAACGGACCAAAACAATCATAATAGAGTTCAGGGAAGATTTTCCTAGATCATATTATCTACTTAAAATGAAAAAGGGATATGATGAGAGCACAGTTAAATCTTCAGTCGAGAAAACATCCTCATAGGGAGACTGTTACAGGTAGGATAAAATACCATAGAAAGAATTAGTAAATAAACTACTACAGGTTTTTTCCATCAATGCTGATGAAAGAGAGAAAATGGTTAGATTCAAGGAGATGCAAAACTGAGACTTAAAAAAATTCTTTTTAAAGCTAGCTGCTTGGAAAATGGCTGGAAACAGCTTTGCATTTTACAGGTGACTGCAAAAATACCTTTTTTCATAATGAGACCTAACGAAATAGCCAGATCCTGTATTGCCCTGGGATAGCTGTACTTCCTACGCAGCCCAAGATACTGTATGTAATTTTTCAAATCAAACAAAAACATCTAAATTAGCTACTGTACATACCATTTATATTGTAAACTTGTTTAAGAACACACACTAAAATGCATTAGACCACAAATTGTCAAATACTTAATTCTGCTCTAGTAATTATTTTCTTAATTTTGCAATCTTAGAAAGCATTAAAAAGCTTGCTTTTTATTTAGTAAGTATTTTTAATTTAAAATGCTTTAAAGTTTATTATATTTTATATGCCTTTAAGAAACAAAGGTAAATCATAAACACTGGTGCTTTGAACTAGAATAATCTCTGTTGGAACACATCTGAAAACCGGGAGAACATCTTACTATTGTATTAAGAGTTCTTTGAGCATCTCAGTGAAACCGTGGATAAAGAAGTACAGATTGTGATTTATTTTGTTTGGAAATATTCCTTGAAAGAGACAACTAAAGAAAGTAAGTAATTGTGTTTCAAAAGACTGCTAAGAAACTGACTGGGAAGATGGAAGACAGAGTAGGCTTAATGGTTCATTTTAGTTGTGTCAGAAGGTTAACATTGGGATGGCGTAAGATTCTATAATAGGATCTGTGCTTACTTATACTTACTAGTGATCTTTTGAAATAAAATGCAGTGAGCAGCAAAGGTACAAAATTTGCGGAGAAACACTTAGTTATTTACTCCTTAAGAAAATAGAAACTTCAGAGGGAAATATCTAAAGTGGGAGGCTGAGCAAGGTGATGAAAGCAGGAAGATAACTTGAACTGATCGTTTTCCTTGCTGCCTCCTAAACAGAGTTTTTAGCCTGGGATGCAGATAGGAATATTAAACACTGCTGAGGGCAACTCCAAGAAGACTTGGTTTAATAATGAACTAAAGAAGTTCTCAAGGTTTCTCTGTCATACACATTTGTCACTACTCTTAATTAATCTTGGTGTATAATGAATCGGTGAATAATACGTGTTGGCTGCCTTAGTGTCATCCATGTGTTAGCACTGCTGTCCCTCAAATTCAACTTGGATTGCTATATCATTTTTAAGGCGACCTAGAATGAGAGGGAGTGGAGAGACTGGCCGGCTGCCTTCTTAGACTAGTTCCTTGTGAGAAGTCTCCAGGTGAACGTCCAGTGTATACACAGTTGGAGAATGTAGGCTCAGCCATTGATGAAAGCTGGTACAACAGGAACAAAGAGGATATAAAATAATAATTAAAAAATCACGTATCTGAAGGGAATACTGAAAACATGATTACTTTAGAGAAGAAACAAATTATAGACACAATGAAATAACGAGTGATGTATTTGGAAATTTCTATTCTGGAATCGAATGAATAAGACAAGGGAACATCTAAAGAAATCAAAGGGTGTCAAATTCAAAACAGAAAGATAATAGCTTTTGACAAAGCTTCCACTTAGTCCTGAGAACTTTTTGCTAAAATTTAATTGAGTCCAAGAGATAATGACCATTTTAAAAAAAAGTAGGCATTTATAACGATAATGGGAATAAATTGTAGTTATAGAAATGGTATAGTTTTACAAAGAATGTTAAGTTCCCTTGCTTTAGAAATAAGGAAACTTTTTGTGACAGACCTGAAAATTGTAATTCAGGATTTTTTTGTACAACTTTATGCATTATTAACCATTATTATTTATGGAATAATTCACTCTGTTATTTATGAAATTACTTTTATACTGTACAGATGTTCAGAGATTCTAATTATTGCCCTGTTAGGATATTAGGATAGGCATTGGGAAAGAAGGCGGATGTCTGGTCTGGTTCCTACTAAGGTCTTTACTGTGAAGAACCTTTCTCTACTGTAGATCCATATATGGCATCCTTTAAAAAATTGTATAAAACAATCATTTTGGAAAAAAAAAAAAAAAACAACAAAAAACAAAACCCACAAAATCTAGATGCTTTTAAGTAAAGAATACTGATTTTCATTCATCCTTTTTTGGGGCGGATAGTCAGCTCAAAAACCCCTCCAGTGTAAACAGATTTGTCACTTTGTATTCTCCCCACATCCCTTGGTTTTCTGGACAGATTTCAAATTCAGTGGGCACTTTTGAGAAATATGGAAATGAGTTGAAACCAGCTGTAACTGCAAAGCTAATTCTTATTTTACCAGGCATAACATTTGGTTGACATAGATAATTTAAAAATAATTTTCATCATACGGAAAGAACAACCTGCTATGTCTTTTTTTAAAGTTGGTGATTGTGTGAAGACGTATTTGTGGCAGTGCAGGGCAACACACTTTCACCAAAGAATTCAAAGTTTTTTTTTTTTTTCTTATATTAATACAGGTAGGAAAATTTAATATGGTAATAATGGGTATTTCAAACAATCCACTGTGTGTTTTGTGATGTTCTGTTTAATTTCTGAATACAAGGAATGACAGATTATTCTGTGTTCTTTAATGAGGGAAGTGACACCCTCCTCCGTTTCTGAATTTTCATAATCAAGGTGAATTGTAAGCTCCCTAGTTTGCCCAGGGAGCTTTTATTCTCATCAGGAAGCTATTAAAGACTAAATCCAAAAAGTGACTACCTTGATCTCAGTATTTCTCAGTTATCATGGGTGAGGGGGTAAATTATTTTAAAAAATATCTCACCTAGTATCTCATGAGATGCACATTCAGAGTGAGTTTTTTTAGGAAAAGGAGAGGTGAAGGATAGGTCTGAATAGCTTTCTTACTAGCTAGTTTGCCAGGTTTTCACTAGTCTTGAGTTGGCTGGATTTCCATAGGGTTAGCTGTGGAAGAGCCAGACCAAGGAGGAAGATTGAAGCTTAGCAACTCCTTCATATGGAGCTATTAGAGTTTAGGGTTCTCAGTCATTGTCTCAGCTATGCATCCCCAGAAGGGGAGAGAGAACACAAAATCAGACTGGCTGGCAATGCTTGGAAATTGTCTGGACGTCCAGTTCAATACCAAAAACTAAAT